TAATAATAATAATAATAATAATAATAATAATAATAATAATAAAGTTGGAAGGGACCTTGGAGGTCATCTAGTCCAACCCCCTGCTCAGGCAGGAAACCCTATACCATTTCAGACAAATGGCTGTCCAGTCTCTTCTTAAAAACTTCCAGTGTTGGAGCATTCACCGCTTCTGGAGGCAGGTTGTTCCACTGGTTAATTGCTCTCACTGACAGGAAGTTTCTCCTTAGTTCTAGGTTGCTTCTCTCCTTGATTAGTTTCCATCTGTTGCTTCTTGTCCTACCTTCAGGCGCTTTGGAGAATAGCTTGATTCCCTCTTCTTTGTGGCAAGAAGATATTGGAACATTGCTATCATGTCCCCTCTCGTCCTTCTCTTCGTTAAACTACACATACCCAATTCCAGCAACCATTCCTTATATGTTTTAGCCTCCAGTCCCCTAATCATCTTTGTTGAACTCAGTTGGCTTACTCTTTTGTAGAATTGCACTGCAGTAGATGATACAAGTCTGATCATTATTTGCTGAAACTAGTGGATATACAAATATTTACTCACATAGCTAGTTTTCTCTCCTGGCCAATAGTAGCTATTTGTTTATAGCCCACACTTTTCAGGATTAAATCCAAAGTTTGATTGATGTTTGTAATGGCCTACAACATTTTAAAAGATGTCTATTAATTTTGGGAAGTCACTGAGGTTACTTCCAAAGAAGGAGGCCCATGATGAATCATTTTAAAGTGGGGAAATTCTCCCTCAGGAAAAGTCTATGAAAGAGAGGAGAGAGGAGAGAATGGACATCAATATCTTACTGACAGTGGTGGGATTCAAATATGTGAACAACTGGTTCTCTGTGTGGATGCCGCTTCCGGAAGTCCGTTCTGGGCCTGGGCAACAAAAAATTAGCTACCGGTTCTGCCGAACTGATGCGAACTGGCTAAATCTCAACACTGCTTACTGACATGTTTTTGTAGAATTATGGAGCTGGGAGATTCATGACTTGGATTGACCTTGAATGTATAGGGAAATCATCCTTTATTGAAGTGAATTAAAGCACAATTAGTACGGATTCCTTCTCTTAATTGTCCTGAAAGAAGGATGGCTTAAGCGAACACTTAGCTAGAAACATTCATATGTGCATCCTTTGAGGAACAGATGTAAAATGGATCAGTGTACATAAAAATTTATCCTAAGAAGAAATGTGGATTGTAGGTGTCCTATCTTTTGGTGGAATTGGCAAGACTGTGGGTGTTCTATTGTCTAGGTATTAATGGGGATTTAGAAATGGATTTCTAAATTAGTATTCGGGATAGCTTTGGAAGCAAACAGACCCCCCCCCCATACACACCCAAGGGGACAAAATGGATATGGATGCTGCAGATGAAGAAGTTTCTCTAGTGCCCTGTGAATCACAGAAATATCATAGGTAGTAGTGTGTGTGTGTGTGTGTGTATGAGATAGATAGATAGATAGATAGATAGATAGATAGATAGATAGATAGATAGATAGATAGATAGATAGAGAGAGAGAGAGAGAGAGAGAGAGAGAGAGAGAGAGAGAGAGAGAGAGAGAGAGAGAGAGACTGTTGCACAGAATATTTTAATACTGCAGTTACATTGCAATACAAAGGAATAGATATATACCTGTGTATATCTGCGTGTATATTTATATCTACTGCATATCTTTATAATCTTTATTTACATTATTCATGACTTGGATTGACCTTGAATGTATAGGGAAATCATCCTTTTATACTGCCAATATATACTTATTTTTGTAGAGAATAGTTCTACCAAAACATTGTACTAATTTCCAATCTGTCATGTGCATGACTGCATGAACTAAACTTTTCACATGAATCTGAAAATGATCTGCTTTATTCACTGGGCCTATAATATTTTAATTTCATACCTCTTTTCCCCCCTCTGGTTAGTAGTTAGCAGATTGTATACAGGGTACAGGTTTTCAGGACTATGTCCTGAATTTTTCTCATGATTTGGAAATATTTCTAAGTTGCAACTATATATATTTAGTGGAATTGCTTGTGGACAAGAGGGTATGAACTATTTTAAAGGGTGAAAAAATTCCCCTTGAAGAAATTGTGGAAGTAGATTGGAAAATTGGAGAAAGGATATCAATATCTAACTTACTATTTTTCATAGAAGTATGAAGCTGGGGAGTCTTGCAAAGAGTCATGGCTTAGATGGACCTTAGTTGGCTACAGGAATCATCATTCATTATCCTAAATATGAACCCAATTCCTTTTGCCTTATTAGTTATACTGTTGTTAACTACTACTTTATATGGTAGATTTCCTTGCTTTTTCAAATCTAAAACAAATTCATTTCCTTAGAACTTACTCCTACTACTGCTAGTATTAATATGTAATAACGTGTTACATATATACTGTATACAATATTCTACAAGAAAATGCTTCTTCTATACATCTGTGAGGCATGGGGAAGATAGTTACACATTGGCTCACCAAAGTTATTTAATGCCAGTTTAACAAAAGAAGCTTCAATGAGAATTGGTAAGCTAATAATAATAATAATAATAATAATAATAA